TGAGTAGCAGTTACACTAATTAAGTGAATATTTCATGACCTTTATAGCGTAACCCGTGTTAAAAGCATAGTCTGCATAAATTATTCACAATGTCTTAGATATATTTTACCTTTTTTATTTTTGTACAGTGGGGTAACAGATTGGGCACATCTTACATGAATGACAGGTACATCCTCCTAGGGTTTCAAAATGATTAAGTGGAATAACCCCTATAAAGGGCCTAGGACACTGTCTGGCACATAAAGTGCCAGTAAAGTGCTCCATAAATGCTAACAATAATATTTTAATAATTAATATCGATAAAGAAGAGTGATGTTTGCTACTGGTAACTCATACTTAAATGAACAGCTCCTTCTTATCCTCTGTATTCCAGTAAGAAAAGCCTCCTCCTCCAAAAAGCCCTCCCTGGCTATTCTATCTCAAGTGGAATCCCTCCAGTAGTTCCCATTCCCCATTGCCCCCAACCTGTTTACTAGCCCAGAGGCCTTGTCATCATCTGTAATTCAATTATTTATTTGGTAAATGCATGTCTCCCCTGAGAGATGTAAACCCCATGAGAGCTGAATTCCCAGTGGCTGGCATAGATTCTCTACTCTCTATTTGTTGAGTAAAAAGACCAAAAAATGTCCAAGAAACTATTATGATAAGAGAATACCATTTGACATAGAAGTGCTGTGCTGAGGTGGCCATTTCTTTGGGGATAATTTTGAAAGTGAAGATGGGTAAAAATTCTAGACCTTCTTCAAACTAAAGCTTCATCAGGCCACTTAGTGGTTTATTATTAGTGGTAAAGAATCTGCCTGCATTGCAGGAGACATAGGAGATGCAGGTTCAATCCCTGGGTTGGGGCGTGTGTCCAGTGTCACTCTTGAGGGAGCAGGACACTCCTCTCTTCCACTCTGCTGCCTACTCACGAATCTCTCTACCCCCATCACCACCGGCTATGGAATCCAATGGAGCCATGCAGGATTTTCCCTTGGGGTCCTGGGTCATGGTCTCCCCACAACTGACATCCTGGAAAGACTAGCAGGAGACCCTCTCTCTTTTCCCATATTGTCTACAACTATAGGACCTGATAGCAGCCAAACAGTGGGCTTTGGCTACCTGAGTTTGAAGCCTATCTTCCCTGCTTACTAACCTTTCTTCGGGCAAGTTACTTTGGCCTCTCTAGGCCGTGTTTAGTCATTGGTAAAAATGGCGGAAACAGCGGACCTTGCTTGGTTAGGCGCTGACGGGTGCCTGGTAGATGCTGGATAACTGATTCTTACTACCTTCCTTCTGGACGTCATCACAATCTCTGCCAGTTTTGATCAGCAAGGGCCTGGGGTTCTGGGATTGCATTTTTCACGTATACATGTTCTATAGCCTGAGAGTTTGTTTCCTAACTGTGATGGATATGTGGCCACCGCTATGGCAACTGAAAGTGGATTGTTCGGAGAAGGTTCTAGAATCCCTGGGTGGGTGGGGCCTCTGGGCGGCCATCTTGGAAGAGGGGCTGGGGAGCTATTCTCTGCCAGCACTTTACCTGGATGGGTGTTTTTATGGTGGGCTGGTCCTGTAGTTGTTGCCAAGGGTTTAGTGTTTATTTGGGGTACTTTGGAGGATTATGTGAATATAAGGGGTCTTTGGATGTATTTGCATAGCAAGCACTCATGTCGATTGTATGTTCATTTGGGTGGCTTTTGAGTGCCATTTTGTGATGAAATCTCGCTAGTAAGCACACAATTTTTACGTGGAATGAATGTTACATAGGAACTTTGGGAAGGTTAATGGATAGGGGGTGTTTGCTACTTTTCTTGCCCTCGGTGGCACACTCTTTGCTCACCTCTGCAGTACTGAGCTTGAGGAGTAATTGGCTGGGATTAATTTGACCTGGAAAATAGAACAGGAAATAGGGTTTGGGCCTGATGTACAGAGTCAACTTAACTGATGTCCCATTTGGCCTGTTTCAGAGGGTGCAATGGTTGATGCTGGGGGTGAGCTGGTCTCTCCCTCCCAATCTTTTGGGAAGCCACACCATGGGTGACCATGAGCTTAAGGGATGAACCTGGGGATGAAGGACTATAGGGAGCCCAAGAGGATCTCAGGTCCAAGCCTTAACCCATCAAGGATTCAGTGAGTTTGGTGTGGGACCTATGAGTGCTGGTGCCCATTCCCTCCCCCAGCAATGGTGTAAGATTTTTATTTGTATTTCACTTCATTATGAGTGAAGCTGCATGGTTTCCCCAATGTTAGTTAGTTGTACCTTTTTAGAAAGTGAAATTGCTTGTTCTTGTACTTTGCTCATTTTTGTGATGGGCTTGTTTATTCTTAACTCTTTGCTTATGAGGGAAATTAGCCTGTTGTTACAGATTTTTACCCAATCTTCACCCCAGCCCCCATTCACATTTAAGTTTTGTACTCTCCTTGGCCAACCCCCCCCTTTATGGTTTTTAAATCGTATGTCATGCTTATACCTTCTATAAACCAATATTTTATTTTTAAGGTAGCCATTTTAAAGATGTATTTTTATATTTAAATATATGTTTTTGACCCACATTGAGTCCATTTGTGTATGGAATGAGGGTAGGGATAGTTATTTGTACCTTTTTAAAAAGTAAAATTGCTTGTTCATATACCTTGCCCATTTTTGTGATGGCTTGCTTATTAATTCTTAGAGATTCTTTGCTTATTAGGCAAATTAATCCTTTCTTACATATTTTTACCCAGTTCCACCCCACCCCCGTTCATATTTGATCTTACATTTTATACAGCCCTCTCCTACTCCATCCCCCACTCCCACTATACATTTTTTTAATCTTAGGTCATGCTTAGATGGGCCTTCTATAAACTAAGATTTCAGTTGTAAAAATTTTAAAACATTTTAAAAGTACACGTTTGTGTTTAAACATATGTGTTTGCCCAACACTGAGTTCATTTGTGTATGGGATGATGTAGAGATAATTAGTTATTTGTACTTTTTTAAAAAGTAAAATTGCTTGTTCATGTATCTTGCCCATTTTTGTGATGGCTTATTAAATAAGAGCTTTTTGCTTATTAGGGAAATTAATCCTTTCTTATGTATTTTTACCCAGAGTCCACCCCAACCCCATTCTTATTTAAGTTTTGTGTAGCCATCTCCCACCCCACCTCCCCACCCCCACTTTATATTTTTTTAATCTGAGGTCATGCTTAGAGGGGCCTTCCTTAAGATTTTAATTGTAAAAATCGCCATTTTAAACATACATGTTTGTATTTAAACATATGTGTTTGACCAACACTGAGTTCATTTGTGTGGGGGATGAGGTAGAGATAGTTCTTTGCAGCTTTTTAAAAAGTAAAATTGCTTGTTCATGTATCTTGCCCATTTTTGTGATGGCTTATTAATTTTTAAGAGCTCTTTGCTAATTAGGATAATTAATTCTTTCTTACATATTGTTACCCAGTTTCCACCCCTACCCCCACCCTGATTCATATTTTATGTACAGTCCTCTCCCATCTCCCCACTCCTGCTTTATATTTTTTAATCTTAGGTCATGCTTAGAGAGGTCTGCTATAAACTAAGATTTTAATTGTAAAAATCACTATTTTTAAAGTACATTTTTATATTTAAACATGTGTTTGACCCACTGAGTTCATCTGTGTATGAGATGAGGTAGAGGTATTTAGTTATTTGTACCTTCTTAAAAAGTAAAATTGCTTGTTCATGTACCTTGCCCATTTTTGTGATGGGCTTACTTATTAATGCGTAAGAGCTCTTTGCCTATTAGGGAAATGAATCCTTTCTTACATATTTTTACCAAGTTCCTACCCCTGCCCCCATTCATATTTGATTTTAATTTTTTTACAGTCTTCCCCCCATTTAAATTTTTTTAATCTTAGGTCATGCTTAGAGAGGCCTTCTATAAACCAAGATTTTAATTGTAAAGATAGCCATTTTTAAAGTAACTTTCTGTATTTAAACATACATGTTTGCTGCACATTGAGTTCATTTATATATGGAATGAGATAGGGATCCAGCCTCATTTTTCCCCAAATCACTATACCATTTGTTTGTAACTACTTGATAGCTTTGTACCAGCTTTATTCCTCCTGACCCCCTACCTCCCACCACCCCCCCACCATTTTTACTGAGTTATAATTGACAAATTTTAATATATTGTGTACTGTGTGATGATTTAATATACATTGTACACTATTTCTTGAGTAAATCCACTTGATTTGCATTACTAATTTGCATTACTGCATTACTAAATTCCTCCCACCCAATTGAGATGTTGGATGGACAGAGAGCTGAAAAGCAGACACCTATTTTGGGGAGAGTAGGTAAGTAGGCACATCATGAGATAGTATATAAAGGTATAAGTTGGTAGAATACTTGGATAAGGCAGCAATGATCAAAGTATAGAATTTTTTGATGGACCTTAGTGGTTTTCTTCTGGGAGTGGGTTTGGGAGGAGGACAGGGTGGACATTTGGTATTGTCTGAAAATTGTTTTCAGAAACCCAAGATTAGGTCAACAAAAAGTATGGCAAGATTTTACACCCACTTACAACCTTGGAGCCTTGTCACCTAAACATGGGGGCCTCCCAACTTTTGATGTAGACCAAACCCTGAACAGTGCGTGTTTGCTCGAAACTGCAAATAATTCACAGGAGTCACATCTTTGCTTACATTTAATTTTTATTTTGATTTTTTTAATGCTGCACAACACGATATTTATTTCATTTGCTTCATTTATTTCATTTATTTCTGTTTGCTGCTATTAGTTACTTAAAGAGAGAAGGGAACATTTGTGGCCTTTTTTTCTTAATCTTAATCTATAGGCCGCCTTAAGCTTTCTAAATTTAGAATATTTAAGCAAGCTGTAGGGTAAAGGGGGTTTCGCAAAATCACTTGAGGGAAAGGAAAGGTTGCTTTGTTAATCATGCCCTATGGTGGGTGATCAACTGCGTGTACAATTATATCTTACTTTTAATTAATTGTGCTTAAGGCCTTAACTAAATTTTGAGGTTCCCTTCTTAGAGCAGCTCATACTGACGGAGGTGCATGCGCTGGATGATGTCACGGCAGTCGTTGAACACACGGCGGATGTTCTCGGTGTCCACAGCGCAGGTGAAGTGAGGGTAGCAGTAGTGGCGCCCATCTCCACTAGCAGTGCTGATTCTCTGTGGGGACAGAAGGAATGGTGGTCAGTGACACCTCGCCAGTAACTCACCAGTCGATGTCATCTACCACGTTCTGCCCACCAGTTATTGACATTATGGTGAAACAATCCCCAACTGAAGGGCACAAAGTCTAAGAGTCACGCTGGCTATCGGTGAAATAACATGGAGGAACTGGATGGTTTGATCCTCAGATTTAGAATTAAGTAAACAGTCTCTACTCACCAGAAATTCATCTCGAATGAAGTACTTGGCCCGGGTCACGCGTGGGTCCTCTCCGGGCTCGGGAGTCGCTGCAAAGAATATAAATATTTTGTTACTTAAGTAATTAGAATGAGATTCTTTTGCTCCCCCTACAGACCCCTTATAGTATGGTGGTGGCGGCTGGGGAAGTGGAGTTCCATTCTCAGAGAGCATTCATTTTTAAAATCAAGAACAGAAATCTTTAACATATGCAAGACCCTATGGGACCAATGGGTACTAATCGACTGCAGAAGGCCATACGTACCATCCTCAGGAGTAGTGTAGCGAGCAAATTCTGGAAAGTAGTCCTCAATCTTCGATTTTCCAGCAAGGACTTTCTCAGCCAGCAGATCTTGCTTGTTGAGGAACAGAATCACAGAGATGGTGCGCAGCCATCTAAGAAAGAGGGAAGTGGGTTTATTGCCCAGGAAAAGAAAGTATTCTTTTTGCAAGTGGTTTGAGATGCTTGCACAAGAACTTGTACAAGATTCTCTTCTACTGACCTTGACATCAGTAGGGAGGAGATGGGAGGGGGCTGTCACTGCACAAACCTGTTGTTCCAGATGCTCTTGAAGAGGTTCAGAGCCTCCTGCAGGCGGTTGGTCTGGTTGTCCTCCCGAATGACCATGTTGTAGCTGCTGCTGGCAACCACGAAGATGATGGCAGTCACATCTTCAACACAAGAAAGCACACATAAGGCATGTCATCAGAGAAAGTGATCCTTAACAATTAGAAAAGCACAATGTCCTTAAAGAGCGAAGAAGAACACGGCTTCCGTACCATTGAAGCATTGGATCCATTTGCGGCGTTCATCGCGCTGGCCGCCCACGTCAAACATGCTGCAGGAGAGAAATGATACCTGGTCACTCCAAGGGCCAACACTGGTCTGCTGCTCTCCCTACCAGAGGGAACGTCAAGATATCTTTTTTTTTTTTTTAAAGGGAACCATTTACTTACTGGAAGTTGACTTTGTCCACCTGGAACTTGGTCTCAAAGATTCCAGAAGTCAGGACACGGCAGCGAAGCAGATCCTAAAACAGAATCTCAGGTCAAGGGGTCTCAGTGACACCAACTAAAACCCGTTAATAACTGCCAACCTGGAGTTGCCAGTTAGTGGGGACAGAGGGCTCCGAGTCCTCTTCGTGTGAGAACGTGTGCGTACCTGGTCGCTGGGCACGTAGTCATCCTGCTTGATGACATCAATCTTGTCCAGGAAGCTGGGAGAAAAACAGGTACCAGGGTGACCACATGCTCATGCCACTTCGTCCACCCACTATTCCTGCCTCTCTGCAAAGACCAGCTAATGGAAATGATCACCCCACAGTTCCATGGTGTTAAGTCAGTGGGAATTTTATGTGTGTTCATGAAGCTTATGATTTCAAGCGTATGCTTTAAAGAGGTTAGAGCAAAGATAATATAAGATAAATGTACTTGGCTGAGCAGTAGTAGGTCTAGGAATCAGGAACTCGGAGTCAGCTCTCCTGGCCTTGTTTTAATTTTAAAAGGTTAGTTCTGTGCAAATCAATCAGCTGATTGATTTTGTGCCATTTGATAATGACTGAGTTAAAGTCAAATTGTTTGGCTTTGATTAAAATGGCAAGTAGTCTGAAAATTGTACCCTTCCTGTCATTTAGTTTTTTTAAAAATGAAAAAAAAAAAAGACACATTTAAAAGCAGCAAGGATTTTTTTCCCTCCCAAGGGACTAATGAAAATGAGATTGTTTGAGTTACTCAGAAAGGGTATCCCTTCCTTCTACTTGTAAGAAGGGGCTGGGCCCTTACCACACTGAACAGGAAACACACACAAAGTTCCCTTCCGTTCTACTTGGTCTATGAAATAGCACAGTCCAGATATTAAACTTTAGTGTTTTCAAAAACCCTCACAGCCACCCAGGTTAGGGGCCCTTATTCAGGCTGGGAGCACTGCACAGTGGAGGGGTGGAGGTCTTAGGGGCCATCCTTAATGATGAGAAAGCTTTAGGGAAAAGCAGTGTTTTCTACCTCCCTCTCCACAGCTATACACTGTCCCCAAAGCAAAAAGTACCTTGGCTTGTGTTGCCAGACTAGATAACACTGTTAGGAAAAATAACTTTTAAAACACGAATTACTGTGTTAATGTTAAAACCAGCTTCCCCCGCCCCTTGGGAGGAGGGGTCTGGAATTATTTTAAAGTGGGCTAATCAGAGGAAGAAAATCACAAAGAAAGAAAAGTCTATTTAAAGAAATTCTGTACCTTTTTTTTTTCTTCTTTCCTCCTTCCTTTTTACCAGTTTAAAGTTAGTCTGGCTTAGAGGATATACTAACTTGCCCAATCAGTCTTACATTACAGTACCAGTCCAGAAATAGCTCCCCAGCCGCCCTGGCCTCCAGCATGTTGCCATGGCAACAGAACCACAGTTCTAAAAATAGATCATCAGCACCAAATCTTGTGAGAGAGACATCTGGAGTGGGGCCAGCCAAACCCCTGCTCAACAAATAAAAACAGGCACCTTAAGAAATGGGCAAGGTAGCAGTAGATCAACTTTTTAACATAAAGGCAGTGAAACCAGAAACACACTGGTCACTGCAGGGGCAGAGCTGCTTTTTAATCACTGGTCTGGGGAAGACATTTTATAAAATTTGAGCTGTGTTCTCTTTTTCTTAGAGTTTCCTTAAAACTTTCCATAAACTGCAAATGTTGTCTTTTTCAGATAAAGTTGCAGGAGTAATTGAGTGTTACTTTAAAAAAAAACACAACTTTTAAATGGTGTGAGATGTAAAAAAAAAAAAAAAAAAGCTGGCTAAACTGTTAATTAATGAAGTTGTTACACCCTCCCCCCTCCCAGAGCACTCCAAACCGGGATGGTTAAATCTTTCTAATCTTGTACCTGTACTTCTGACTTGGATCCAAACTACAAAAGGCAAACAATTCCAGGATTTCCATTTGTTTTGCATTACTATAATTAGCACTTCCAGCTTTAAGCTCAAACTTTTGAGAAAATCAGAGACTTTGTTGTGGAGGGGGTGGGGGTTGCGGGGGGGATGTCACAGAGACTGGCCAAGATGGACTTTTTTTTTTTCTTACTCGTTGAAAAAATATACAGATTTGCTTGTATATGAAATCACAAAATAGCTATATGTGTGACAACTGAAAATAATCAAATGCACTTCCAATGGGAAGGCAGGGCCAGGGAGAGAGAAATTGATAGGCTTCACAGCCCCTAACATAAGCTCTTGTGATGTGTAGGTAACAGGAATCTGGGGCACTTGCTTTGTGTTTGCAGTTGGAGTGCTGTCACCTCTTCCTCCCTCCTGTTTATTCAAGTGGTTTTCATAAGTTCCTCAGGCGTGGGGCTCCTAACTAATGCAATTTTAGCTTTTTGTGAGCCAGCCGGGTACCGTGTTCCTGGTTACTTAATATTTTCAATAGCAAAATTGTGTGTGTTTCAGTTACTTACATAAGAGAGGCTGAAACATCACAAATATCTCTTGCCCTTCCCCTAGTCATAAAAGACAATCCAACTTGAGAATATATGATAACTGAGACTGCTGAGTACATTTGTGCAACATCAGCAAACAAACGATACCTTTAAAATATCTTTTATGGCTCTGAACATCACATATTTGCTATATTATGTACAGGATAAGGAAGGTCGTAAACTATTTAAAAGGCAACTTTCTAGTTGTGTTTATCACATCACTGGAAGAGAGCCCATGAAGGGACACAGCAAGGACCCCATGGGGGGAGCATCCTTGAATTAAGCCCGGTGTGAATGAATCAATAAGGATAGGAAATGGAATTCAACACAATACCCAACTCTAGATGAACTAGACATATTGGACTCTGGCAGCTACTACAGTCACTTACCTGATAGTAGAAACAGCAAAGCAACGGACTGGCCACGAAGGAGGGGGGAGGCCTATTTTTGCCACACTGTTCCTCTTTGTCATGTTTTTAAATTACAGCAATAAAATAGGATAGTTCTACCTTATCCAAAGTGTGAAAGCTGTTCTATCTCCCCACAAGCTTTGAGGTCAATTCAATTAATTACTTCAAGGTAATTAATTATGAACATCACTTTACTGCAGGTAATTATCATTTTGCTCTACCAGGCATTACCTGTTTGTATAAAAATAATGTCACTGCACTAAAAAGTGCAATTAAGGGCTTTATAAAACCAGTGAATTGGACTAGAACTTTCAAACTGCAGGTGGGAATAACTGGCTGGCTTCTCTGAAAAGTAACTTGAACAGTGTGAGTTGTGGTTTTTAGGATGTTCTCCATGCGTTCGTGTGTGTGTGTGTGTGTGTGTGTGTGTGTGCGTGGGTGTGCGCACTGATGCGGAGACAGTGTACTTACTACTGGGCGCAGTCAATCAGCTGGTACTCGTTGGAGCGCTCATAGCAGGCACGCACCCCTTCATCCTCCCAGAGAGCCTTGGCATGCTCGTAGAATTCCTAAAAGTGAACAGAGAGGGAATGTTCAGACCCGGGGGCTGCTCCCAGTGAGACCAGACTTCACCCTGCCACCAACCCTGGGTGCGATTATTCCCTGTTTTGAGGCAAACTAAGGAGTGAGTGTTCATAAAGAACTTCCGACGTGCTACACGTATTTGGAAATTGAGACCAGCTGATCTCTTATTGTGGATTACTGGTCTTGGGTTGTTTTCATACTATACTTTTTGGGAGTGGGATGAAGGGCCAAACTAAACTAGTGAATAAGTTTCTTTCTTCACACAATTGCTTACCTAGGAGGAATACAAGCTACTTAGGACTTTGCCAATAAATGATTTGATGTCATGGAGATGAGACATCTCATTTATGAAGATGTGGTGAGACCGAAGTTTTCCTTCCAGGGAAGTGTGAATTTTAGCAAGAAATATTATGATTGGGAGCCGCTGGTAAATCTGACCTTGTCAGTCAATGCCTATCAATCAAAGGAGCAGTTGGTTTTAAACTGCAATAGGTCACAGTTCATATGTCATCTGACCAAAAAAAAATTAAAAAAAAAATTAATTATATGGGGGCAATCTTCCCTTACAAGGGAAGAAAAGGTTCTTCTGCAATGTGAATGCAGCAAGAAAAGGGTCAAAGCTCAATGGGAGGACTCTTAAAGAGTCACCATCCTGGTGCATTTTAAATAGGCTGCCTTTTTTCTCCTATTAGAGCTATAGAATCACAGAAGAGTCTGTGTTGGGCATTATGTATGCTGTGTTTACTGCTCGACTCTTCTTTTATTTTTTCTTATTTAAGAGAATTTACCTAGCCATACTTATTAATACTGCTTCCTGGATAGGAGACATTTGCAGCCAAACCCATTTAAAATATACAAACACAAATTCCCACGAAATCCTGACAAAAGGCAACAATAAGTCATTGTTTTTGCTGTAGACAAGTCTTTTCCTTCTGGACCTTATAAACTTGCCCATCTTTCCATCTTGTTTCCTGTTCCCCTCTTATAAACTATTCTTCCCCCACTAAGGGTCAAAACATATATGCTTAGGACATGGGCAGTTCTCTGTTCCCTAAAAATAGTTCTTTATGGAGCCGACAAATCTGTGCAAAAGGTGTCCTGCACGCCAGCCAGGGAACAGAGAAGACAACCCCTGTGTTATGACATTTAGGTGAGGGCCTTTTGTAATTTTCTTTATTAATAATAATGAGAAAAGACTTCATTTGCCCCAAGGCAAGGGCTGATTTTAGAAAAAAATTTAATAACAGTTAAATGGCAAATCGTCTAAAATGAGAATATCTCCCATTTATAAAATTCAGAGCTGGCGCTTCATTTCTTGATATCTCAGAATAGTTTCAGTCAGCTAGACGATTAGCATTTCTGTGCCGTACTCAGCGTATAGTACTTTGTCACAGATGTGTATAAGGGAATAATTAAGGCTGCCACAACTCATGACCTTTTCTTCTGTGAAAATTTACCGTCCAGTGCAGTGGGAACAGTCGTACTGAACCGGGATGTTTACTTGTGGAGAGGAGTGAGTCAAGACTGACAAGCGGTGACAGAACTTTACTCAATCGTCTTGAAAAAAGCCCTAAAGATTACTACTAGTTGTTGCTGTCATTTAAAGATTCTTAATGGGTTAACTGTTTTCCTAACAGTGTCAAAGAGCTGGGTTTTGTGGAAGAGTAGTGGGGGAGTTCCTGGTGGTGTGGGGAGGGGGTGCAGGCTTGGCTTACGGGAGGAAAATCAAAATCCGGCACGTTCATCACGCTCAGAATGTAATCCACTCTGAACTGGTTCTCCGGGTTGGCCAGCTCCACAGGGGGCACCAGGTTGCTCATGGCGGCCACGATGGTCTGAAAATGAGGGAGCAAAGGTCAGCGGGGAGAGCGCTGTCTGAAAGGGAGGCTAAAAGAAATGACAGAAAAGGACTAGGCACGTACTTCAATGGCCTCTTTCAGGTTGTTTTTGATGTCCTGCACTTTGGTGGCCTTCTCACTACAGTGGGATTGAAAAGGAAAAAAGAAAATCATATTGCATCACGTTGACTCACAGTGTCGTTTCAATCACGACTTTCCAACTAAAATAGTATTCTGTTTTCGAAGGAGTGGGGGGGTTCAGATCTGTGCTGAGGTTGGAGGTTCCTGAATAATGGTGGTTTCAAATGATAACCACCCATTGTGTCTTGAGGACACACCCAAGTGGGGCAGAACCCCAAGCATCTAGATAAGGATTGTAGCTACTGTACCATAAGTGTGGACTGGTTATTTACTATTCAGAGGGGCTTCTACCCTCTTGTGGCCCTCACTGCATACCAGCACTTCCTAAAAGGTTCCTACTGGCCTTCATTAGCATCCCTATTGGGGGTTCAGTGGCTCAGTTGTGTCTGACCCTTTGCAACCCAGGGACTGCAGCAGGCCAGGCACCCCTGTCCTGAAGCTTTTGGTGGGGGTGGGGAAGTGTTATTGTAGGGTTAGGTAGGTGGGGAAAGGCCACGGTGTGCCTTGGGGCTTTGTCAGTCACTGGATTAGCGTAGGGACCAGCAGTGAATGAAACGTAGGTGGTAGTGTTAATTATAGACTTAAGGGCCCTGTTTTTATTTATTGTAAGCATTGTGTGTCCCTCTATGCAGCCAGCAGCAGTGGACAATATTTCTAGTTGATGATGTTAATATACATTGATGCCTTGATGTGAATAGGGTAAAATGGAATTCTGCCACCCCTCCCTGGAAGTCTAAGATCTGGGACTTTTGGGGGGCAGTGGAGGGAGGCAGTGTGGCCTATGCCCCACAGTTAAGTAGATGTCAGTGGCTTCACTTTTTAATTCTGATTTTAACTTGAACACCTGGGAGGGCAGGTGTGGTCTGTGTGGAACCAGCTACTTGCACGGTCCCTGGGGCCACAGGTCAAGGCCCTTTGACTTTGGGGAACCCCGATGTTGTGCTTGTTCCCATGTCTTCAGACACTGTCCATCTTCAAGCACAGCCAAGAAAGGCTCTTTGGGGTTGTGTTTTTAGGGGTTAGGGACCTCTTGCTCGGAGTATAAATCTTGCCACAGTATTGCCCAGAGTGGGTCACCTGTGTGCTAGGGAGTTGGACCACATGCACGATACACCTGTGTATCAGGTCCTGGGAGGTGACAGTGGTTGTCACGAAGATGTCACAGTGCTGTCCTCAGGGGACGGGACAGGACGGGACGGAGGGTCCCGGTGACAGAGGCAGAAGGGGGACAGGGCTTATACTTTTCTTGCTGGGGATTTTTTAAAGAAATCTCTGGAATCCAGTTGTTGATGTATTCACGGGGTTAATTCACCTAGAGTACTGGGATGGAGGGAGAAATGATTAAACACGTAGCACCCCAGGGGTCAGGACACGACAGGACTTCAGCATAGAGGACACGCGGGGAGGGGATGTTAACAGCAAGAGCAGCCTAGCCGGGAGGTCAGTGTGACGTGGGAGGCGGAGGCGGCTCCTCGGTCGGAGGTGTGGCTATGTGATCGCCTGCAAAGCCCCGCCCCCCGGAGAACCTGGCCTTCCATCCTTTCAAAATAAGCCTTTTGCATATTCGTTTGAGCGGTGGGCTCTCGTTTTCTGAATGATCTCATTTCATCCCTGCCCCAGGGTGCAACTGGCCACTGAGACACTGCCTGTCTCGTATCTGAATGGGGGGAGCTAGTTTAGAGGTAGTGCCCTCATCAGGGGCTGAAGAGGTGTATGCTTTGTGGGTGCAGGGCTACAGATGGTACCAGGAACCCCCTCATGGCTCTTTAATAAAAGTGCTGCAAGGCGGGAAAACTCCAGGAGAGCTGTGCTGCCAACCAGGAGTGGGGGATTTGTGCCCCAAACCCCTTACTCTTAATGCAACCAGCCTAGATTTAAAGGGATCTCATTCTGACCCCCTCTGAGTTTCTGAAATTACTAATAGTATCCCGACTTGGCGCTACGGCCTAAATCAGGTATCTAGACGTTGGACGTGTGTTTGTCCCCAACCTGCACACAGGAATTCAAAGTTAAAACCCCACAGGACAGTCCCATTCCCATTCATTAGAAAGAAGCTCCATTTCCATAGTAATGAGAGCCTTGGAGGTTTGGTTTTAAGGTCCCACAATAGTTAAAATTATGTATGTCTGGGTATTAATGCCCAAATGAGCCCAAAGCAAGAGAAAAGTTATTTCCAGAAACCTGGTTCTTTCATTCAGTTTGATATTTTGGTCTAAGTAGTAGTATGGTAATTGGAAAACTTCCAGTCTTAAATACGGATATTCTGAGAACGTGTTCAGTATTCATCTACGTATGTGAATAGGTGTGGGAGTATATCAAGTATAAAACAGCTAAAATAGAAATCTGAAATCTAATTCGGGTGTGTAATACTAAAACAAAAATTCCTCCATTGAAGCAATTACTATGTAGATGGAGATATTATACTGGGGGTTGGCAGGTCTATCATAATTTTTACTATCACCTAATGAATTTAACATTGATTGTGACATTCTCAGAGAAAGTTCTTCATATGTCTTTGAAGTACTGAAAGCCAAAACGTGTATCAACTACATACAGAATGCTAATGGATGAAAAGTGGGGGCTGGAAGTAATGTTTGGATTTTGTAACACCCCCTCCCCCCAACATGTATAAAGCCTAAGATCAGGGCTGCTTTATATGCTGGGTTCAAATTTTAAGATATGGTCCCCCCCCCCCCCCCGCCCCACCTCCAAGTAGGGGAAGGCTATGTTGTATACTGACTTCTATACCTTTTATCTTTATGCTTTTTTTGGGGGGGGGGTGGGCAGACAGACAAAAGAAGGAAGACAGAAGACAGACGCAAGATACAGGGATTGCTGAGACATGCAGAGAATTTTTATTTATCACATTTGTTAATACTTAAGTTTTACTTGTAGAACAGAGTCACAGAATAGCAGGCCGTTAGTAGTTATTAGTAGGATTCAGTCAGGGATCTAGCATAGCATCTAGGAAGTACACAGGAGGTGGTTCAATAGGGAGGTGGTTCAATAGGGAGGTGGTTCAATAGGGAGGTGGTTCAATAGAGCGGGGTCATAGCTCTCAAATGCCAACTTTTGGTACAGTAAGCTGTCAATCACTGTTTATGTAGATGCTTTGGGTGGTTGATACACTACATATTTGTCAATTAGGGATTACTTTTTTTGTTGATTTTTGTTTGTTTTTTTAGTTTTTTTTTTTTTTTTTTCCAGTTATCTTTAGCAGTTAGGTGCTGGGGCCCCATCCCCCCACCCCCCACAACAGAATAGTATTCTTATTAGAAGTTCCTAAGACAGGCAATTCCAGCATGCAAAGTGTGATAGGACATAGCCGGGAAGATGAGAAATTGAAGCCATCATCTAGGGGTTATATAGTCTAAAAAAAACAGATGAACAAACATGTGTCAGTTACTTGGTCCCGACCCCCCAGTCTCCTTTGCCCCTCCCCTCCCAAGTCACAAGCTATTTTTGAGGTGCCCTAGGCTAGGTCAGTTGGCTCTGAATGTTCTCAGGACAAAGAGCTGCTCCCTCACTGCATGCTGAATACGCAGAGCAGTGCTTGGAGAGAGTTACCTGGCATGCGTGTATGTGTGAGTGTGATGGGCAGTGCGGATGCAGGAAGTGAAGAAAAAAAAAATTTGATAATGAGTGGAAAAAGATGGAGGCCATCATTAATTTCCTGTCCACTCGATAAAATGGCAATTATAAAAAGACCAGAGACTTTTCGAGATCATTCTCAACAATGACCTCCCTCTTCCTCAAGGTGCCAAGCATTTATCTCCCCGCGCCCAATTAAGGACGGTGCGGCACCACGAATTTTAATAGAGGTAAAAAGATTTTTTTTCCCCCAGAGAGGTCTGAAATTTTAACATCAGACCAGCCACACGGTAGATAGAATTTAGTAGTTTTAAAAACAAGTAGCCAGTTTTAAAAATAAGTAGCCAATTCAAATGGAGAGCTGGGGGTGGGGGAAACTATCAATTTTTGAAATCCTAAACTGACCGTCTTAATGCTTAAGTCTATAGCTTTCCCCCAGCTGGATCTAATTATACTTTAAAGATGGCAAAAAAAAAAAAAAAAAAAAAAATCTGTTTTGCACTTCACTTGCTCTGAAATGACAAGAAAGTGTGTTGTTTGCAAATATATCTACCAAGATGGCTGATGGCCCTTAAATGATTTTGGTTTTCTTCCCGGGTCTCTGTGTCCTGTTTCCCCGTATGATGTGTGTGTCAGGTGTGCGTGTGTGAAAGTTTTTCTGTTTTTCAATGTGCCTACCCATCGCTGTTGCTCCTTGCAGCCTGCGGGTCCTCTTCGCCGCCCCTTTTAAAGAGAGATTGAAAGCTCACCTAATCTGCAAGGCACCGCAATTTCACAAAACCCCCACACAGCCTCCCTAAATTCCTCAACAAACGGCCGCCATCCTCCCGTTAATTCTTAGGTCGCCTTCATGGCTAAATTGGCACGTCTACTGAGACCGCAGGCCATGGGGGGAAGAATTCCACACCTTCACTGCAGCATTAGCAGAACCCTCTGGAGACTTCCGTCAGGTACAGGAGGGACGGATAATTATTTTCTTGTGCTTTCACTAAATGTACATGCATCAGGGAGCTAACGCAGTGATTTATCTCACAGTTCTTTGGAGAATATAGCAGCGCGTAAGGCCCCTGATGGTCCCAGACCTCATTCGCCGTGTTGTACTGAACACACAAAGGTCCATGATTTTGGGCCCCTGATTTCCTGGTGCATTATTAATTCCCTCCCTTCTTGGACTTGGGCTGCTACCTATGTTTTTATTTCTATACAACTGTTCCCCACAAATTGTCATCAATTAAAAGTGCCTGAACTGTGAGGCACACAGCAAAAAAAAAAAAAAAAAAACCCCAATTAAAAGAATAAAACCCACTACCACCAAGCCCCTCCCTCCCCAAACCCAATCTTCGTGATTGGCAGGAACTCCTCCTTGAAGGTGGGAGGGGCAGGATGGCTCAAGCTGTATACCAGGTTTTGTAATTGATTAGCTTATTAGCTCATCCAGTGTTAATGGCACTCTTCTCACCCCCAAATGTAAGGGAGAGTTAGCTAGCGTTGAGTTAGGAAAATCCGCATTTGACCTCTGTGTTTGTGAAGGTCAGATTAATATGCCACGGTTACTCTGCAGAGGTACTCGGCACAGCAGTCTGCGCACAGTTAAGGCAAATATAATAGCTCAGCCCAGCCCTGACAAAGCGCACGTTTACGGAGCAAGGAGGCAGAGACCCTGACCACCGCACAGAAACCCCTTGGGTGGACGGATGTCCTCACTTGGCAGGGAATTCCTAGTGGAGAAGGAAACCGCCTTTGTTGCAATACCGCAGCGAGGATAAAGAAAAAAGGAGGCTCATTTGTATGAGATAAAAATAAGGTTTCTAGGCTCACATAAAGAATTCCCCTGTATGTCACTTTCACAGGCTAAATTTAACATCCTCAGAGATTACCTATGGCTTCCTCTACAAACAGGCAAACTGGGAATGTCTCTTCCTCTTTCGGGGGGGGGAAAAAAAAAAAAAAACACAACTCAGAAAAGAGAAGTGCTGGTTTAAATGCCTCGTCTGCATTACAGACAGGCTCACTTAGGGGGGAGAAACTTTTCTCTAAAAATTAAACAATTTTAGGGCAATCCACAGAGTAATAAAACTTTAAGTGAATTATTTCAAGGATGTCCTATCTTCTATTGGACCTGAGCTAAGGTAAACAGTGGCTGCTGCATCCTTTTAAAAATGCAGGCCACATCCAATTTTAATCAAAATATTTATCTAGAGGGTACATGGTCAAATTATTTTTGCTTAACAAGCCTCCTGAAGCAGCGCTCCCTGGAAAGTTGCTGGAGGGAAAATTATGCAAGGTTTTTCTTTAAATTACAAAATCACAGCAAAAAGCCTATTTCAGGCTTTTTGTTTTAATTGACAGACAGCAGTCTCTGATGGCAGGGCTTTACCGAAAGGTGTGTCAAATTAAGAATTTCAGAATTGGTTTGTGACATGTGAACGTGACTTAATCAACATGTACTTGCATACCGGTAACTCATCGGGAGAGCCATTCATAAAACTGGTTAAAAGAGCTCATCCCTCTAAATTTTAAACTTAAAAAGCATCCTAAACTAAATGTCCATTTGTATGGATGATGTCATCCTTTTCTCTACCTTACCCCTCCGCGATTATCTGGTCTGAGAAATTCTAGAACTTTCCATAAAGAGCTGCCTCCTGCAGTTCTTTTACTTCTAATAGGTGATAAAATTCATCCCTGTTTCCCCCCGTGTAAGTGCATAGTAGGAGACAGTAACTGGTCTTTATTAGTTTGTTGGAGGGAGGGGTTGGTGCATAACTGAATTAAAACTATGCCCCTCTGACTCAACCTCCCCTTTGGACACTTAAGGGGAATGCAATTTTAAACTGAGCCCAGGTTTAAGAAAAGGAATAGGGCTGCTAACCAACTAGTTAACTGCAAATCAGTGCCTGCAAGTGACTGTAAGGTTAACTACCCTTACCAGCCCACGTGAAAGTACAGGTGGGTCTGGGGAGACCTATGCCCCTTATTTGCATTCTTCTCTATAGTTTACATCTTCATATATGCACTCTCTCTTTTCACCTTTATTCTCACTGCGGTATTGTCACATTGTCCTAAAGCAAGATGCCTTGAAGGACTTTTCAAAGGCAAAAGTGCCCCTAGGTCTGGCCGGAAGTACCTAACTCCCAGCCTTTCCATTATTTAAATATCTTTTTATTTAGGCAAGATCATCGATTTTTAAAAAGGGAAATGATGATTTGCCCGTGATAATTCCAAAGGGGGGCGAGGGAATGAAGAATTACTAACAAGGGCTGACTCTTCCCACTTTGTTTTATGTGAGAATATTATTGAAACAATGTTTCCCTAATAGTTTAAAACATCCTGCACTGGTGCATTGCGCTGCAATGTGCTGGGGGTGGGGACCAGCTCTGCAGCGGTCAGCGTGGCCAGGCAAACGGGTGGCCAGGCAAACGGATGGCCAGGGCCGCTGTCAGCCACGTTGGAGACCCACTGCACCAAAACCTACCGCAGACCTGTCATGGGGCCAACACAGGGGCTTTATTACTATTACTGCTTGTTGCTGCACCAAAGAGTAAAAAAGGAGGAAAACAGCCCCGAAAGAGCTCTTTTCCTGATATGTAGGCTGAAAAAATTAAGCGGACATTGGCTGCCCAGGCCCTAAAAGCTACCTAAACTTCCTAAAGGTTAGTATAAAATGTGGTACTCTGACCTTGCCCTTGGTACAGATTTGACACTTACTCTCCATTAAACCCATTAACATGCAGGATCCTCATTTGCTTCACAATGGTGCTTTTACCAGATTCTCCAGCACCTAGAAAATGAAAGTAAGTCTCAGGTTAAGAAAGAGGCATTTTACACATTTTGGGCAAGGAGGAGAGGGAGAGAGAGAGAGAGGGAGAGGGAGAGAGAGACACTACTGCTGTTTTCTTCATAGAAGCAACACGCAAAACACAAGCAAAATAAGAGACGTGCAAATTTCCTTGACATTTCGACGCAGAAAAAATGAAAAACATCCAACTGTGTGTGTACCTGCAGTATTTCACCATCAGAACAACAAACAAGAATTAAAGGTTTTGGTTTGTTTAGGTGTTTTCTTTTAGTTGTTTTAAAATTTGTGGGGTGGGCACAGAAAGAATGATGCAATTTTGTCATGGTGGGGGGAGGTAAGAAAATTAGTTATAACTGTGAAACTGGATCTTTGAACTACGAGCGTTCACTGGTAAAAATGTACACCTTAATGTATATGGGCACATAATTCATTGTTTGTCAGCTGTTTCATGGTTAAAATACCCCAGGGTTCACAGACAATGCCCAGACCCCTATGGCGCCCCCAGATCTAAACTGACGCAGCAGCTCTCCAACATTTTCTCAAAGTAGCTGTTTTGTCTGCAGGGTTCTTGTCCCCTGGGCTACTTAAAAACCACCCCCTTAGCCCCACAATATTCCATTTGATCTACTTCTCCACACCCCTCCCCCCTTTCACTGCAAACTTTATTTTTCTAAAGCTAAACCCTCGGGATATAACAACCATTTGGGGGTGGGGGGGAGATGAAAGACCATCTATTTGCTGTCTTGAAAAATATTTAAATATAGTGCTTGAGAACAACCCTATTAATAACATGTTAAAAAGGACAAGACTTTAATCATAAGGGAAAATATTCCTGAAAACGACTGAATTTTCAATGATTCCAAGCCCTTCATGACTAACAGAGCTAGAAAAAGGGCGTATGCCCCCATTTGAAATCACCTTAAATTTGTAAAAACATGTATTTTATGGAAAAAACATAGTTCCACCAAGCTAGGAGGAGGATTGCTAGTTTCTCGGCCTCTGTAAATGGATACTCTCTCCAACAAATAATCCTGAGTGGACAATTTTTGCCCCCCTCCCACACAAACCTATTTGGTTTTTTAGCCCCTCTTCACTTTTTATTGTTTTGTTTTACTGCCCAGAGAGCAAAGCATTCCTCCTTCTCTTGCCTTTTCACAAGGCTGTAATCAATATCTATAAAAAGTTAAAATTAGTTTCCACAGAAACATTGATTTCAAAGCAAACATTCTATCTTAATGAGCCTAACTCTCACAAATTAAAATATTAACGGTACTATTGAAGAGAATACATAATATTAATCAGAATTTCCAATATTCTTGTTTCGTGTTAAAATTCGTAGCACCTCTTTTACATGCACAGAGGTCCGTGCCTCAGTTTCCACATTTAGGAAATCAGAGAAACTGCAAAACTAAGGCAAGATCTTTTGTGGCCCTGTAATTGAAATTTTATTTCATAAATTAAAAAAGAGGATCCTGGGCATCATTATGTTTCCTTCTTTTTTTGGGTAGGGGGCATCACTTGGTGAGAATCACCATTTAAAGATGTAAAATGCGTGGCACTGACCCGGGCTGCAAAGCCCCATGCCAGAGGTTTTTTATGATAATAGGACTAGGACACCTGGGGCAGGTTAGCTTAGTGATGCCCGGTGCATTCAGAGTTAACAGTCTCAAATTAAGGAGAGACTATGATCACTGTGCAAAGGTGTTAGAAATTTAAGGTACCATTCACATCACATTTAAAATAAGTATTCAGACAGCAAGAGTGTTCCTAGGAAAGATTCTAGACTTTTCTAGGCTTATACTTTGAAATCAAGTTATACGCAATTAATATTCACACACCATAATTCCACCTTTAGAAGTTTGACAACAGCTCAACATATGTACCATTTAATTACTGTAATTGCAAATGCATAAACACCAAAGAGACTTATTTTCACTTAATAATTTTCTGCTTTACATAAATCTGGACCCAGGAGAACAAAGACATGACCCCGTCCCCCAAAAGCAAAGGAGACGCCACCACAAAGGAAAAACAGCCCTTTACATTTTATTCTTTATAATCAAGCTCTTTTGTTGATATGTGACCCTGAACTAGGTCTTAACCTAGCAAATTCACTCAGATAGCCAAATTACTAAGGAAGTGGAAAACTTCCATACTAATTAATGCTTGTGTAATTCTTCTGGTCATTTCAACAATTTCTTTTATGCTTCTTTTATTTATTTTTCCAAATCAGCACCTTTAAGAAAAATGGGGGAAAGGCCATCTCCTTAGAGTTAACAGCCCCCCCCCCAACGCCTTTATTTTTTTTGCCAAAGATGAAAAACCGCAATCAAAAGAGAAAACCCAAAACCAAACAACCAAATGTCACTTGACAAACTACTAATTAATGTATTCTCCTCTCCTTCCACCTGGAAAAAAAGTCTTTTCCTGCAAGTGCGCTGGATTCCCTCCCCCCCCCCCACCTTGAAAAGGACAAAAAAAAAAAACAACCACCACGCCATTTCCAGACCAAGAAGCCATTTACAGACAAATGTCATTTTCCAGTTTTGATTTGTGCATGTCTTTTTTTTTTTTCTCCTTTTTTCACAAAGCGCTCTCAATGTGGCCGACTAACAGGAAAATGTGTGTGTGCTAATGGTTTATGGGGGGGGGGCGCGCTGCTGTTGGGGGGGTGGGCGGCAGCTGCTACAATTAATTCTCTTCTTTGCTTTTCAAAAAGCCTGCATATCTGGAAGGGGAAAAAAAGGTCATACTGTAAAATGACGTGTCATTTGGCTTCACTGGGCACTTCAGCGTACTAACTCCATTTTTTTTTTTCGGCCTTATTTTATTCGATTCTCCTTCGCTTCCTTCCACAGCCCGACCCGGCCCGGGACACGTCTGCTCCGCGCACACAGGGTGTCCTGCCCCAAACGCACCAAGTCGCGCCCAGCGGCAGCCGCGCAGCCTCCTCCCGCCCCCCGCCACCCCCCCCCCCGGCTCCGGCGCCACGACTCGCCCGCGCCCCCTCCCCCTCGCTGCACCACCTTTACCACCCGGAGCCCTTCCGAGGGGCTGATGTCACCCGCCCCCCCCCCAACTCTCCGCGGCCACTTCCCCCGCCGAACCTCCCCTCGACGAGGCCCCCTCCGCCACCGCGGCGTGCCCCCCCCTCCGCTGGCTGGCTTTCTCCCTGTCCCTCTCCCGACAAATCACACACCCCACGGAGGCGGGTCCCCCTCCCGTGGCCCGCCACCCCATTTCCTGTCCCCGAAACCCTCTTTTTTGTCGCAGTCTCCCGAGCCCTGTGGGACTCCCCCTCCCCCTCCCCAACACGCACCCGAAGCCCCGGCGCCGAGTAGGCCTCGCGGAGAGAGAGAGAGAAAGAGAGGGGAGGGCGCGGGGAAGACGGGAGAGAGACCAGGAGCGGGCGACCAGGGCAGGGAGCCCCGCGCCGGCGTCGCCACGGCCCCCCGCCCTATTTCAGGCCCCCGCCCGGCCGAATGGCGCCCCGGGGTCCCCCTTCCGGCCTCGCCCCCCAGAGGCTGAGCCCGCGGGCGGGCGGCGGGCTCGGGAGCGCGCGCCCGGGGCGAGGGGCGGGCTCGGCGCGCGCGGCCTGCGGGGCGCCCCGAGGGGCCCCCCCGGGCTGGGCCGGGGCCGGCGCCCCCCGCCCCGCCCTTACCCAGCAGCAGCAGACGGTGCGTGGCCCGGTAGACCTGCTTGTCCTTCTGCAGCTGCTTCTCGATCTTCTTGTTGGCCTCGCGCTGCGCCTTCTCCTCGTTGCGCTGGTCCTCGGTCTTGCTGTTTCCGAGACAGCCCATGGCGGCGGCGGCGGCGGCGGCGGCGGGGCCGGGCGCGGGCGGCCTCAAGCGGGCCGAGAGGGCCGGGGCAGCACCGGGCGGGCGGGCCGGGCGCGGAATCGGCTCCTCGGGGAGGAGCGCGCGGGGAGGGCGGTGTCGCTGTGCCTGAGCAGAGCGCGCGGCTCCCAGCCCCTCGAGCTTGAGCCCAGGGGTCTGATGGCCGCCGCAGAGCGAGGCGGACCTGAGACGGAGCTGCGGGAGCTGCTGCCGCCGCTGCCGCCGCCGCCGCTCTTATTGCCTCGGCCAGAGCCCCGCCGCCGCCCCGACCCAGAGCTCCGCGGCGGGCGGGGGGAGGCGGGGGGAGGCGGAGGCGGCGGCGGCGAGGGGGGTGGAAGGAGGAGGAGGAGGGATGAGGAGCGGCCGCGGCGGCGGGGAGGGCGGGAGCTGGCGGAGGGAGGCGCCCCCCCCGGGTACCCGGGGAGGGGGGTCCCTCCGCCCGCGTCCGGCCCGGGACGGGACAGGCCCGGGAGACGCCCCCTCGCCCCCCCTGGCTTGGGCCCCAAGCGGGCCCGGCCTCCGGGGGGAGAGGGGGCGTCTCCGAGCCGGTGACGACCCCTCGCACGACGCCAACGCTCCACCCCCCGGTCCGCGTCGCCCTGCGGCCCCCGAGGCCGAGCGCCCCCCTCCCCTCCCGCGGGCGCCACCGAGGGGCCGGGGTGGGCGGAAGGGGAGGGAGTGCGAGCCAGAGCCCGGACTTAGGAAAATTTTCGAAAAGAAGTGAGAGACATAGAGAGAGCTAGAGAGCAGGGAAGTGTGGAAAAAGCGAGGCGAGCACGAACCAAAGGACAGAGCAACCGAAAAGGAAAATGTGTCCAAACACACATACACAAATACTCAATAAAACTCCACACTACACAGCGATGGTGGTGTCTGGGGGCGGGGGCGGGGGTCTGACTTAGATGAGCCGCTCCTCGCGCCCCCGGCGACGGGCGCCAGGGCCGGACTCGAAGGCACCCGAGGCCCCGGAGTGCCCTCGGCCTCTGCGCTTGGCCGGGCCGCCCACGAAGGAGAAGAAGGCGCAGCCCAGGAACATTCGGAAGCAGCAGGTCGCCCCGAAAAAGAAGCCGCAGCCGCGGCCCTCGTCCGGGTTCGGGTGCATTAGAAAGTCCAGCACCCACGCGGGGTTGCGCACGGAGAAGACGA